TTAAAACAACAATTAAGTTGATAACATAAATGGAGATCAAAGGCCATAAAATATGTTTAAAATGTTCACATCATCTAAAACTAGTTGGTGTCATTCCCCAAGAATCAAATATCAAATGGTTCCTAGATTACTGTAACAAACCACCGAGCAAGCTAACAAGGAGAACCACAGCTACCAGTTCTCCCAGTTCAAACCAAACCTGGTCCTGTACAGCAGACAAGGTGGTCAGGTATAACAGACAACTGTTAACTTCTCTGCACATGTTTATAGACCTGTGGTTGTATGAGACATGAGGTATCATTATCTTCAGTAGGCGTGCTGTTCTCTGAGGTGAGGCGAAATGAATCATACTCTAACTTCAGTTGTTTAAACAGCTGATTGATGGTGTGAGTCACTGACAATGGCAGGGTCAGTGCTTCATCTCCCACTGGGGTTACTCAAGGTACTGTAAAGTGCTTCACGCAGCACTGCTGTCATTGAAAAGCCCACAACTTAAACTACCAGATGAAGTTTAAATTGCACCTCCAACGTTAGTAAAATCAAATTAGAACGATGTAATTGCAAACCAGTGTGGTTACTGTTGCTACTTAAATGAAAAGTCCATTTTAATTTAAGGAGTAGACGGTGACTGTAGTTGGGTATTAACCGGTTATAATGTTAATAATGACATAACGCTTTTATCTTATTAATATGACATTGTTAAATGTTCTTTCAAGACCGACAATAACAAAACTTGGTTAAAAATATTGTAACCCAGGGCTTAAAATAGGATTGAAAGCTACACGGTAAAACCAACATCATATGACATGAGATTATACTTCTGAATTCTTTAAGATGACTATAGAAGCGCTACAACAACTAAAACAGGATAGATAGAAAGCTGCCTCATAATTGATGATTTTCTGAGGCGATATTTTGCAGGATCCAGCACCAAGCGTGAGTCATTGAACTCTTGGAATCGTACAGTAACAGCAAACTGATCTGAAACTGAGTCGATCCTTGAAGGCACTGCTCTGTCTGCAAATTTAAGAAAATTTATTTGTCTTTTTGCAACTAGGCAGCGCTGATAGTTACTAATGGATGAAGAAGAAATGAATGAATTAAGATTGAAAAAAAAGAAATTATGCTACGTTTTAGGAAGGTGGTTTGAGGTGGTTGGTTTGGTGTCAGACATTGGAGAACCCACCTCTTACCATTTTCAATCATTTGTCTGTTTTTTCTTAACTACAAATTTAAACTTAAACAAGAGTCAGCATGTCAGTTTGTAAAGACTGTGAAAAACATTTCCAGTGTGAACACGCGATAACAAAACGGAAACATGCAGCGAAAGTAGATCGCCCATTTTGCTGTTAGTTTGAAGGAGTGGCTGAAATTAGGTCAAAGATATACCAGAGGTGGGACAAAAAGCAAAAGTGTTTCCAAACCCTTTATTTAGCATTAGCACGTGTATATATATATAAAAGGAAGAAGGCTAGCATTACCATGACATTCTACGAATTAACACAGTTGTGCTTGTGATAGCTGTGCTGCTAACATTAGCACTACCATCAGTGACAAACATGGACACTTCTTTCAAACTAACCCAGTTTCGGCGCACGTGTAGATGACGGATATCAACTCACACGGTGCCGTGTTTCTGTTCCAGCT